CTCGAAAACCTAAAATGTACCTTTTATATGTCAAATAGTTTTCAGGAGGAGATGTTTGGAGTAAATGTGACACACGTGATTGGACACACTACTAACTGCAAAAAATTTGACAAGAGCGGTTTTTGTCTGGTAAAATTGAGCAAATCATATTTTGAAGATTTCTGAATCTCAACGCTTAGGAGTCTACTAATAATAGTGTTTATATCTCTGGTATTCGGTATAACAGATTGTATGGGATAATAATCTGCGCCGTGAAGGATCTTAGGAAACAACATATTCCGTATGTGATGGGTGTACCGTATGCTCGGAAACCAAAAGCAAGCAAGATCCTTATAAGTAAGCGTATAATTTCGCAAATTAGTTGCTACATTTACGTCTACCACTCTGCATTTCCCTTCAGAGCACAACAAGCTGGGCATGACCAATTACATAGCGTTTGTTGCTGCATGTTGTCTAACGGGTATTGCTGGCGTCTATTTTTATATCAGTAAAAGAAAGAAACATGCGTTTGACTTGGAGAAGCTGGACAGTAAAAGGGAAGTTTCGTATTTTGATATTGCAGAGAGAATGTTTGTTTGAGTTCTTCTGCGTGGGTACTATCAGATATGCTGCCTATTTAGAGGTGACATTTGGGAAATTGAACGCCATAATTTAATAATTTACAACGAAGTAGAACTCGGTTCTGGCGCATTTGGAACAGTTTTTCTAGGTAAGTGACAAAGTAATTGTATAAGATACCAGTTTTTTAATGAATAAAATATCAAAAGATCAAAATTTGCGTCCTATCAATTCCTTTATGGATTAAAATGAGATTAACATGAGAGGAATCCTTTCCGGCACTATTGTAAGGAGCTTTTGAAGCTGTTCTACTAATAGTGTTTTCGAACATACCTTTTTGCATCTAAGGTTTAATTGGTAGTACATCGCGTTTGCTTCAGTAAATTTTATGCTCAGCCATTTGTTGACCTCTAAGAGAATTGGTCGCCTATTTTCGGTTTCTATCCACGAAAACGGCGGAAGAGTCGAAAGTTCAGCTGACAAAGATTGTCGAAATCTTAATTGTGTTCAAGCCACTATAATTAAAACTGTTACAGTACCCAACTTGTATTCAGGAAAGCTCCTTGGCAGATTCCCTTCCAGGGAAGATGCAACATCACAATTGCGTGCTAACTTGGTAAAAGCAGCGGATCATCAGGTATGTAATAAATAATCTGTGATCACTGGAAATTTCGTCCCAATTTTATTAAACTCAAAAAAAAACTTTTAAACCCAGAAGCTTTTCCTAAATTGCATCATTCAAAGGGAATAGTTTTCTCACAAAGTAATCTAAGTGTATCTGGCACAGCCAGTGATTGCGATTTTAGTTAACTAGGAATGTTTGAAAATGGAATAAAGGGATTGAAGAAGCTCACTACCCGGATTTCCTTACAATGCGAAAAGCTTAGAATTTGCTATGACGGTGCCTTGTGAGTAATTGGATGACAGTTAAGAAACACATAGTCATTTCTCAAATAGGGCGTGATTGCATGATTGCGGCATGTTACTAAACAGTGTAGAAGGTTAACTGGTAATTGATCTGATCATAAAAACACCCGCATCGCAAAAGAAACCCATTTTAAAGTTGAAATCACCGATCTAACAGATAAGGAAGAGTTCAAATAACTTTATGTCTTTTGTGCTTAATGGTTTTACTAGGATTAATAGAAAACATACTCGTGATCAGCATGTCAACTAATCGAAGTACACCACTTTTCAGGCTAATCAATGAGTTACTCCTTTCGCCACTTACCGTAGCCTTATAGTAAGACCATACCGTGGAGAATAGAAGTGATTTTACGACTGGCATCTCCAATTTCCCAAGTGGCGTTATTGCAAACTCTGAGCTTTTCGAATTTCGGAAAAACTAAATTGTCAACTAATCTTTTTTGGCCCGAGTTTCTCAAATTACTTAGTTTAGAACCGGACATTGGCTCCATAATTATCTTACTTCTTTTTTTCAATAATGTTTTAGTATCGAATTTTTGGTCTGGAATTTTTTCAAAGTAGAAAAGCTGCGGACTTGTTGAAAAAAAGCAGCGATTTATGCGATTTTATTTCAAAAGTTGGAGTTGCTCAGGTTGCTGTAAAGATGCTGCCGGATCTCGCCAATAGCTTGTTCAGAGGAGAATTTTTGAGAGAAATCGGACTGATGAAGACACTTGGTTATCATGAGAGGTTACTAATATCTTAATCAATAATCTTGTGAACCCAGACCCACCAATTTGATGGGGACGATCACGCGCTTTTTGCCATTCTTAATAACAGGTAACCAATGATTTTTCACAATTCCATCTACAATTATCCAACAATATATAATTTGAATAGTGTTCTTGACGTCTCCTTTTTCCTCCTCATTAACTTCATCCATGATCTCCACTGATTTCCAATTGAGAATGCATCAATATCTTACCGAACTAAGACCTTTATCTGCATTTTCCCACCCACTGCCCATCTCATAAAGATAAATACTGAATTTCTTACTAGCGTTACTGGTAGGGTCTAAGGTTATATTTAGCTCTATAGTTGGCGTAAGCGCTCACCCAACTGTGGCAAAGAAACGATAAGAAATAGATATCATAATCAGAATGAACGCGCCAAAAACTTGATTTTCAGCCTTCAAAACTACTTGTAGCCAATAGTGCCCTACCCCAAGTTAGTCATTCTAAATTCAAGCCTTTACTAAGCCTTTATGACTCTCAAAACATAGCCTCATCTCAGAGTTCCACCGATAGACAGTGATAAATGGATGTCGTACCTCCTTCTGTGACGTTAGAATTACAGTAGTGTATGCGGCTTTGGCGCAGCGTCTAACAACACAGCAACCTTTAAAGGTTTCTTGAGTTCGCTGAGCCAAGGTGTTAGAACCATTTGACACTGTAAAGCTTTGCACCAATGCTACGGTAAGTCATTGGCAGGGCTCAAGCCACCTAAAATTTTACACCATAGTCCTACTCTAATAAAAAGTGCAAGATCCTCTCTAAGTATAAATCTGATTGTAATTTTAAACCATTCCTTCAAAATGAATAATTGGCCTAGAAAAAAACGTATAAAAAAGGTAATTAAAACCATATAATGGCACCTTTTGTTGAGACATCCATGATGTTCAGTCCTGCAAATAATGACTAATGTCTGAATGTTTCAGCATAACATATTTTGCTAAATGCAGCAAAACTTCAAAAGGGGTAAGCATGAATGAGTTGACTGCTGTCCCTATCACACATTTTTATCCAGTATTGATATTCCCTCTAGCTGCCCAAACGCCACTGCTGTTGTATCTATGTTATATCTATGCTACATCATACAGGCCTCGGCACTAATTCTCCGACCAGAACTTACGAAAACGAATCCCCGCTTGAAAATCCAGTAAATCACGAAACCCTCTTTGTAACCTGTACAGACACGTGCAATCAGGACAAGCATGCAGTCGTATACTTGGAGCGCGTTTTCTTCATTAAGGTAATACGATTTAGGGCCCTAGCAAAGAAGGGAGAAAGTG